TTTTTAGAGGACATAAGCTTTGATGCTCGAAAATAAAAAGGCAAATGATGTGTTTCCATAAAACCAATCCGTCAAAATTAATATTAATATACTATGTAAATTATAGCTTTTAAAATTAAATAAAATATTATACCAAATCTGATTTTAGTAAACTTATAGTCTAGTTGAATATTTCAAAGAGTTGAATGCATCAACACCACAAATGATTTGATCTGACTCGAAATGAACCCAAATCAAGCTCTTGAAGTATATTTAGAAACTTATGAGCACTAATTGAAGGACTACAATATCTTCAAATATTTCATGCTTATATTCAAATTATGTGGCTAAATGAAACAAATCTAACAAGCCCAATTATCAGATTATGATATCATTATGACACTCAAATGCTAGATAAAAATCTATAATTAAGAGGATCAATATGGATCATTTAATGAAGTAGTTTGAATTTTGGCAAAATTTACTAAAAATGTCCCTCTAAAAAAACAAAATAAGGCGTCATTCTATATATGAAAGGGGTTCAAAATTTGAGAGAGCTGAAATAAATCTATTGTACTTTCTAACAATCACTATCGATAACACCATCAATAATCACCGCCATCATCGCTAGACTTTCATCATTCAATTAGTATTGCTTGATTATTAATATATAATCTTGTTTTTGGGCTTTTATAGTGTGTGAATACTTGATTTATGTAATCCTTACAACAATAATCAAGCATTATACTTAATTGTAGAGTATCTCATATTCTTCATTTATGGGGTGGCGACGATTCTTATATTTTTCCTTATTTAAGGGATTATTCTAATTGGATCATGCCCCATGTTTTCCCCATTTTTTATTTTTGACATAAAATAATTTTAATCTCACAGAATTTTTTTACAAGACTAAAATTTTAATTTCACGATAATTTTTTTAGCATGTAATAAGGTGTATTTTGAATGTTGTGTAAAATAAAATTGATGTGTATGTAATACTTTTTTTTATACAGGATTGGTTGTAAACGAAAAATCAAGATACGATTTTTTAGTGTTTGAATTGTTCCTATTATACCCATTAGTTACAAGATGGTTCCTATTTTATTTTATATAAATGAGTACAACTATCATTAATTGAATATTCATTTCGCTACATCAATCGTATGCATATATATCATTGTTCATATCTAATATAATATATCAATTATCAGTCTTATCAGTTATATCAATCTTATCTATAGTGTCATATGCCGGTATGCGTTTACATATTGTGTAACATCAATATCACATGCAATATGTATCACATAGATTATATAATTTGCATATATCATGCGCCCTTATAGCAATCTTACCAGTCATATCATATGCTTGTGTTTGTCTTGTCCTGTATCATATACATATCGTATCATATCATAACATAATTTATCATATATGTTCATGTTATATACATTTACAAGCAAAATATGACACCTAACTACCTGTGGTGTTATCCTATATTATGTCCTATAGGACAATCCTACAAGATCAGTCTTAATTATATTAATCATATCACCAAGAATTAGTCGTATACCTTATGTCACAAGTCACAGGTTATGTGAATTTCATGTACGAAGTCATCACTTGCTGCCCATCAATAAATCCTATCATATTAATCTATTCCTTTAGGGGTATCAACTTATGACCAGACCAAACTCGAAAATTTGACCCTAACTCGGCCTGAAAAATTTGATTTCGTGTTAACCCGAACTTGAAAATAAATGGTTCAGGTTTGGATTCTCTTTTTCTTTTAATTTATACAACTAGATCTTCCTAATTTCTTATATTAATATATATATATATATATAATATAAATAAAACTATCGATAAAAATATTAATATATACATATGTATTTATTTCTCTAAAAATTAGGTACACTATTTAGGATCTTTACAATCATAATATATCTATTCTGCCTTGAGTATAAATGAATAACTAAAATAATAAAAATTTGAATATGAATAATTTTAGTCAATCTCACACTCTTGCTCTCTTGCATTGACCTAAAATCATTTAAGCCACATATAATGAGCTAAAAAGCCCAACATGTCACTAAAATCATGTAACTGAATTCAAAATATGATAAGAAGTAGTATTCATGTCTTCAATCAATTCATAATAGTAATAATAATATGATCAAGAATTAATGCAAAAATAGTGATATCATATGTAGTAGTGATATAATTTATAAATAGTAAAATAATACAGTATGGTAGCCAGTAAATAGTACAATATTGAAACCAGTAAACCAGTACATGTGCTGAATCGATAAAATAATCATCACATTATACTATCAATTAGTAAAAATATATATATAAAGTGATAAAATCAAATCATCGGTAAAGATTATTGGAATCATATAAATACAGTAAAATCTTAAAATAATGTACACATGTTATTTAATTATTCTATATTAATATCAAATCAATATCTTAATTGTATGCTGCTCATGGCATGATTAGTGTATCGCATGCTAAGCATTAATATATTAAATTAATAACAATAACATTAATAGTGAATCAGTACTAGTATTATCAAATAATATTGATGTCTATATCAATAATAGTATCATTATAGTGTCGTTATTAAAATTAGTGATAGTAACAATAAAGTAATATAGTAACAGTAAATATGTATAGTGACAGTAAATCAATACAATATCAATAAAGCCATACAATAACAATGAGTTTATAATATGCATTTTGGTGGTCACACTTCAACAAGTAAGAAGACTTGACTATCACGATAATTTTTAGTAGCCGGTAATCAATAATTAGTAATCGTTGGCTCAATAAACATAATCATCATTATTTGTCTGCCAGCACAATAAGAACTCCTTATAACTCCCAATTTTTGTATCATGTGAATCAGTAGATAATAACACACAACCATAATATTTAAAGGAAAGCTCGTCGGCCTACCATCATGTATATGTCAATTAAACTTCAACCAACAGGTCAACCAGTTTTTACTTATCTTTTATACACATTACAATAAAATAAATAGTGATAAACTATTACCCAATCACATATATATTTTCATACTCGATAGTTGTATTAACAGTATGTTTGAATAAAAATAGTCAATTTCTATATAGTATAAATCATACAAAATTCAATGAATTCTATTTTATCATGTGAGATTCATAAATATTACAATCAAAATATTCAAAATAATCAATACGATACCATACAAAAAGTTGTGTGGTAAAAGTTCAATAAAGCCAAAAAAATGTAGTGAAATCAATTTTGATGAGAAGTCAACGGTCAAAATCAAAATATTTGAAAATAGAGATATAATTATAATCACCTACTTTAATTTGAAATTTTTTTTTGTGAAAGTAGCAAAGCGATTCAAAGGAAAAAAATTCAAAATTTTCTCTCTCCTCCATTGAAAAAAATAATTGTAATTGTGCTCAGGATTACCTAGTGCTCTAGACTCAGCGCCTCAACAAAACATGCGGTGCTTAGAATTAGAGAAAATTGATTCAAGATTATTACATTATGAAGGCCGCTAGCGATATTTATAGTATCACAGATGTGTAGAGCATCGCATGGCACAATGTATCATGAAATTATTTGATTTTGGTGAATTCACAATACTCAAAAAATAAATTATAACATAAAATTCAAATTCTTAAAAAATATTTTGAATTTTTATTTTACTTTTAATCAATTATTCTAAACTTTAACCCCCAATATTTATGTTCATTATACATAAAATATTTGCGACAAAAAGTGCCTAGATTAAAGGTTCGAATTGAAGAACCCATGCACATATCAGGCCTCAGGATGCAGCATTATTTTTTAGCATATGAGCTCAAAATTTCTTCAGTGGGAGCCATCACAGGCATTATTTAACCACTAGAAGGCTAGTCATGCCATCAAAATGCTTATTATTATAACAACATATGATTTTTATATTTATATAGAACATATGGTATCCCAAGTCATACATTTGGGCTTCGTTCAAAAAAGGGTATTGGAAAGCATTATTGAAATAATTTAGGTTTTATTTGGGACTGTTTTCTTATTACTTGTTAAAACAATTTTCTAGTACAAAAAATTTAGTTTTTGTATTAAAAAATTGTTTTAAGAAGCAATAAAAAAGCTGTCCCAAATGAAGCCTTTTTGGAACGATTTTCTTACTATTTTTAAAGTAGATTTCTAGTACAATTTTTTTTTATAATAAAAAGTTGCATTAAGAAGAAAAAAAAAATCATCCCAAATGAAGTCTTAATGTCTTTAATCTGCTTAAATATTAGCAAATTATTAGTTGTAATTTGACAATTATAGTGTTCAAATCTATTATCTTAAATTGATGTAACTATTCAAAAAATAAAATTATTCATAATTATCGACTCACATTAAATAAGTAGTTACAATTAAATAAGATCAGTGATTTATTTCTTCATAAAATTTTCTTTAAAATAAAATATTTTATCTCATGCCACTTTCAGCTTATTTATATATACTAAAAATCAGCATATAATTCAAAAATATTAAATTATAATTTACAATCATAATTTTTCTCAACACATCATACAAATCACAATTTGACATATTTTTTTTAAAGTTTATGTAAGGTTTTATATAACCATACATATTTATTTCAAAATTTTATTATGATATTATATGTGAGAATATTATATATATTTATGATATCATACAATAATATAATAATTATAATAAAATTTATCTCATTATGTGGGTTGATTATATAAATTTCTTTTATTATGTATTATTCAGAATGAAATTTTTATTTAAATTTAATTTAAAAAATTCATTTTTAATGCTACAGTGTGAGCACAAAATTGATATAATTGTGTAGAATTTAATAAAATCTTAAAATGCACGGAAGCGTTCAATTAGTACGCTCCGGACTTCACGAATTTTGCAACTTAAATATAAATAGGAAACCTTAATAATTAATACATACGGAGGCTTAACTCTTTTTCACTGGAAAAAACTGAAACTACACCCCTTACCTTTGGATCTTTGCTAAGATACGTGTTAAAAGCCATGATAACAAATCTCAATGCAGATCCAAAGGCTATAAATCAATAAACATCATTCTTTTTTCACATCTCAAACCGTGGTGAGGCGGTGGGCCCCGACCTGCATCCGTCAAATCCATGTTAAATCCTTAATAACCGAAATGTCAAAAGTAACCCCACTTTGATCAGCTACTAAGCGGTCCGATAACCACCGTGAAACCATAACTGCTCACCGCGACGAAAGCATTGCGACAACGAGACAATCCTCCGGTCTCTTTCCCACTGGGCCCTACTTTGGATCACTCCGGCGGTCACGCAACGGCGAAGGGAAACCGACAACAATCAGCCCGAGGTCATCCTGGTCAATTCGCCCTTTCAGAGCGGGTGTAAAAGATTGTAACAGTATTTTCGCAGATTAAACTTAATTATAGTGTAGACCCATTTGTCGTAGGCGCCTTCAACCTCTTCCTAAACATGCTCGCCAGAAAAATAACGTCGTCTTCCCGGCAATGCTTCCCACTCTGCTGAGCTCATCTCCACAACGCTTCAAAGGAAAAAGAAGTTTCTACCGCTCTTTCTCGCTTGAAGAGGTTAGGATCCATAGAGAAATTGATTGATCGATCTCAGTTTGGCCGGAATGGGCGCCGGGGGACACAAATCCGGCGGCATTCTGACGGAGAAGACGTCGGTGCTCGGTCTACGCCTTTACGTTCTAATCGCAATAGCTGCCTTCGCTCTCGTCACCGGAGGCCTCACGGCGTTGTTCCTCTTCCTGCGATCAAGCAACAGGCGACATAGGCCGACACGGTTGAAGCACTCGTCGGGATTGATGCCGACCTTCACGATGGATATCGGCGAGATCGGATTGGACGGAACTGGGCGCATAGGAGGAAAGGGGTTTGAAAGGAATGAGAAGAAGGGGGCAAAAGTGGTTGAGGGAGAGTGCTCCAAGTCAAAAGCAGGGGCTGAGATGATGGGGCATATTGGGTGGGGGCGTTGGTTCACGATGGCGGAATTGGAGACGGCGACGAGTGGATTCGGCGAATGGAATGTGATTGGCGAGGGTGGTTACGGCGTTGTCTACAGGGGCGTTCTCCCTGATCTATCTGTCGTCGCCGTTAAGAATCTATTGAATAAGAAGTAAGTTTCGGATTCATTAATACTTGCTGAGAAATCGATCAACTGGTTAAGTGGGATTTTTATTTCTTTCTGTCGTGAAGCCGATCTTATTAATTTTGGTTTTCGTGCTTTATTTATGGGGCTCTGTTTTCCTGTCTAACTGGTGATGGACAACCCCTCGCCCTTTTTCTTTTCTGATTTTTGTGTTTTTTAAGATTTAAAGTAAAAAAGCTAATCAAGATATTTAAGCTTTCATTATCATAGTTTGCAGACAAATAGTCTGGACATAAATTTGATTTGGACATGGATATTGGACCACCCTATGATATGTGATCTTTCGTTCCTAGGAAATTTGAGGTGCTTGTAGACTATTAGGTCATATTTGAATTAATTTTAGGAGAGAAATTCGTACAGGATATTCACATTAATAAAATTCATATGAATTTTAAAATTTTTGGATTAATTTTGAGATTAGTATAATAAATGAATAATCAATAAAATCTTGTATTACAATCATCTCAAAATAAATTAAAATATTTTCTTTAAAGTCCATCCTAACTAAATTTGATCAGTATATCAATTCTAGCCCAAAATTTTCCTTAGCTTTATCATTAGCTTTATTTTGTTTGTTTGTTGTTTTCACCTAAAAGAAAACTGCTTTAGAATGATCAATGATCTACTTGTTATTTGAGGAAACAAAAAATAGAATATACGTGGCAAGAAATATGCTTGATAACTATAAACTAAGATAACAGGATTTACTTTCTTTTATAGGGGTCAAGCAGAGAGGGAATTCAAGGTGGAGGTAGAAGCCATCGGAAGGGTGAGACATAAGAATCTCGTGGGTCTTCTGGGCTATTGTGCCGAGGGCCCTAAAAGGTGCGCTTTGATTTCCATCAATTGTATATTCTATCCGGAATTTCATTTGATTTGTAGCGTTTGACTAATTTCTGGCAGTGCGTATTTGATTCCAGGATGCTAGTATACGAGTATATGGATAATGGAAATCTGGAGCAGTGGTTGCATGGAGATGTTGGCCTTGTTAGTCTATTGACATGGGAAATCAGAATGAAGATTGCGATTGGCACAGCAAAAGGGTAAAAGCATTCTTGAGTTGGTATTTATTTCTGTTATCTTTTATTTTTTTACTTGAGGGCCTTGAGTTGTTGTTTTCTAGTATCAACTAAGATGAACCTTGTGTCTGTAGGCAATTAAAAAGCTAAAGCATGAAACATAGGTTATGAAATTTGAACATAGAATCTTTTCCTTCTAGTTTTTCACCGCATCCTGAATCGTTTTCAATGTTCTACCAAAAAATTTAGAATAATGCTACCAAACTAAATTTCGGAGACTATTATTTTAGTGTTGCATAAGGAAAAAAGTGGAGAAGTGCCTACAAAGTTTTGTATGATAAAAGGATATTTTGGAGACTTAAAATAAAATTTATAAAATCTCAATTAGGTCAAAAATATTATATGAATCTGAATGTTAGACTTAAAAAAACTATTAATATTTGATACATGTTAAAAATAGGCTTGATCAAGCATGAATTTTAAGACACATTTGAATTGGAAGCTTCTTGTATTGCACGGATAGAAGCTATTCAAAATGATTTACAAAGAATACGTTTTACGCTTCAGACGCCATTAAAAAAAAACAAATGGAAAATAAGAGTTCATAAAGTCGACCCCAAATAGTTGGGATAAGGCTAATGACTGATGATTAGCAAAAAGAAAAAAGGAAAATTTGTCAATTGGGGAAATTTCTTTTGTCAATAGAACACTTTTGGCCACATGTATGATTTTGTTTTGTTTTTTATGCGTCTTTAAGGTTATTCCTTATCATTTATAAGCTTTTTTTTTTGTGTTTTTGGGCTGTTGATTTGGTTGCAGATTAGCACATTTACATGAAGGGTTGGAGCCCAAAGTTGTACACAGAGATATCAAGTCCAGTAATATTCTTCTAGACAAGCAATGGAACCCCAAAGTATCAGACTTTGGACTTGCCAAGCTCCTCGGTCCTGGTTCAAACTTTGTGACCACTCGAGTAATGGGAACTTTTGGGTTAGTTCAAGCTTCTCTTCTATATACATCACTAACGGTGATTGCTTTGCACCCATTTTTTATGATTACAGTTCAACAATAAGTGAAATTCAGCATCCTTTCTTTAGTCAGATGTACCTCCTCACCCTCTTATTCATTACTACCATCACTTTTGCATCACAGGTATGTAGCTCCTGAATATGCATCAACTGGCTTGCTTAATGAGAGCAGCGATGTTTATAGTTTTGGAGTTCTACTTATGGAAATAATCTCTGGAAGAAACCCTGTTGACTATAGAAGACCATCTGGAGAGGTGAATACAGTGAAGTAGTAACATATTTATTTTTTCATTACATCCCTATCCTCTTAAAAGGTAAAAATCATAATGCAGGTGAATTTAGTAGAATGGTTTAGAGGAATGGTTGGAACTAAACATGTTGAAGATGTTCTAGATCCATTGATTGAAATTCAGCCATCTCCAAGAAGTTTGAAAAGAACTTTGCTTGTCTGCCTCCGTTGTGTTGATTTGGATGCACAAAAACGACCAAAGATGGGACAAATAGCACACATGCTTGAAGGGGATGAGTTCCCATTTCGCCTGGTATAATTTTCTTGTAAATTAATGCAGCATACTTTTTTTTTAATCTTGTGACATGTCAAGTCAAAGATAACTGTAGCTTTCATGTAAGTGAGAATTTGTCTTCATCAAATAAAATATCGCATAGAAATTAATGATCATAAAATAATCACATGTTTAGTCAGAAACTCACATTCAAAAAAAAAAAAAAAGATTGTATCAAATTTGAAAAATAAAATCACACAATTAGACTAATTACAAAAAATAGAAAATCAGATTAAGCAAATATAAGAGATCATTAAACTAGAACTATATTTCATGCTAGTACAAGGATTAGCTTTTGTTTTAATTTTAGAAGTCTAGCAATAGCTAAATCCAAAAAGAATTTTTTTTATTAAAATAAAATTAAGGTAGAATTATTTTTATATGCCTCAGGCGCCACTATTCATAATTCACAAGTCCTTGCTTTACAATATCAGAAGATAGAGTTATCAAGCTCATATCAAAAGGATAAGAATCGTTAAAATCTTGCATATATAAGCACAGAGAAAATTATAGTCCGTATGAAATATGTTGGGATTCTTGGGGAGGAAGGAAACTTTCGTGAATGTTGGAGGGAGGAAAGAGAGAGGGAGAAGAGTAAAAACAGAATAGAACTTTTATTCCTTGGCTTTTGCTTTAGAGAGGGTGAAATGAAATTGCATAATATATGTCTATATATAGACATAAGATAAAGGCAACACTAAAGCAATAAAAGAACTTAAAGAAAACCAATATAAAATACAAAAAAAAAAAACCTAATTAAGTTGGATCACAAAAAAAACTCTAATAATCTCCACCTTGATCCAACTTTCAATTGCCCCTTACAGAACCTCTGTATCAATTCATTCATCCCTTGAATCTACTGCCACTGCCAAGTTAGTGCCATCTTTTAGTTCACCTCTTTGCCATATCTCTATTCGGATAATTTCTTTTAGAATGTCCCTCATTGTGGCAAAGATAGCACTTCTTACTTAATCTCTCTCTTCTAACTTCAGATCTGCCCCTAACCAGCAACTTGTCACTATTCTTTTCTTCATTAATTTCTGATTTCCGCTAAATCTCCTTTGATATCAATATTGACTTTACATCAGTCATCATCAAAGTCTGCTTCCCATACAACATTGTATCAACAACGTGTTCACAAGTTTTCAGCAACGAGCTAAGCAAGATGATGCCCTGATCTTCTTCAGCAATACGCATATCAACATTCTTCAGATCAAGAATTATCTTGTTGAAGTCATCCTTGTGCTTTCGAATATCCTTTGATTCTTCCATTTGAAGGATATACAATTGATTTTTCAATATCAGAAGATTTGCAAGATATTTTTTCAAGAACATGATTCTAATTTGTCCCATACCTTGATGGTTATTTCTTCCTCGGCAACCTCTTGCAACACCTCGTCATCAAGGGAAAGCAAGATTGTGTTGTGAGCCTTCAACTGCATTTCCCTTGCCTTCACCTGATCGGTCAATGCCATAAATCCATCTTTGGGTATTGCCTCCAAAAGCCACTTATGGCCTAACAATACTTTTATCTTGATTCGCCACAGGCTGAAATTATTTTCTCCAGTGAATCTGTCGATCTCAAACCTTTGTACTGACATGATTTGAAAGCTTCTACTCCACCTCAAAGATCTAAGCAGATCTTTATCGCGGCTCTAGGTTGCTTTGCGCCTCTTAGGTTACCCGTTCGCATGCACCTAGGGCCAAATCAAACTCTAACCTCACCGAACAAGACCATCGCTCCCTCATGCGACCCAAGTCATTCGCCTCGCCCTCGCATTGTGGTCTAGCCACGCTGTCCACTCCCGGTCCACTCACTTGCACAACTTGTGGCCCTCTGAACCCGAATTCGTGCAAGGACACGGCCCGCGCGACACCTGTGCAACCACATGCTATGATCGGCCTGTCCGCGCACGCGAACTACTCGCTTCGATAGGGTTTTCCTTGCCCGCGCGCGTTCCCACATGCTCCGCCCACGTGCTGCTCCCGCGTACGCCCTGTGCTGCTCCCGCGTACGCCCTGTGCGTTCGACGCGCTTAAGCACCCTGAGCGCCTGCTATGCCTGTGAGTTCGGCCAACAACCGCGATCCCATTATGCGTGAGCCCTCACCCTTGCCCTGACCGTGCGGTCTCTGCTCCTAATCACAAGAACTCCTCAGAACTTCCTCCACCTCCACCTTGCTCGGTGGCCTCCACCAGGTTCTGATACCAGTTTGTTGGGATTCTTGGGGAGGAAGGAAGATTTCTTAAATGTTGGAGGAAGGGAGAGAGGGAGAAGAGTAAAAACAGATCATAACTTTTATTCCTTGGCTTTTGCTTTAGAGAGGGTGAAATGAAATTACAGAATATATGTCTATATACAGACATCAGATAAAGGTAATATCAAAGCAATAAAAGAACTTAAAGAAAGCTAACATAATATACAAAAAAAAAAAACCTAATTAAGTTGGATAACAAAAAGAAAAAAACTCTAACAAAATCAGTAGCAAAGAGTAACTAAAGCTCGTAAATTATGCTAGCTAGCTGCATTGTCTGAATCTTTAATAAATCGTATGTCACACGCTGAAATAGAGATGCATATCTCACAAGAGAAGCAAGTCATAAGACGTAGCAAAATTGTAAGTCTCAAGGAGATCGCAAGGGAGCCAAGAGTTTTGCATCAATATGCTTGGCTTAAAGATCTTTGTCCCCGAAAAACTGTTCAATTGATATTTTTCATATATAAGCATAATATTTACACTCAAAGTAGAGAAATTTAATAATCATCATCTATAAACTTATCTTTCACTAGATAAATTATTTTTAATAGCTATCATCAAGCAGCGAAAATGATAATATTTCTAATACCAGCTTCAAAATAAGATTAATATAGAAATTTGAGGGTGGTGCAGATGATTTGTTAGATGAAAATTAGCATTCATTCTAACAGGTTGTATGACTTTACATAATTGCATTTTATAGAAGTTAATTCTGGGAGAATTCCTATAGGGATCTTTTCAATGCCTAGATGAATCATTACCATATCATTTGGTTTAAAATTCCACACCTCTCATATTTGTATTAGTGGCAGATTAATAATTATCACTATTAAAAGTAGGCGTTCTATAAATACTTGCATGCAAATAGTTATTATGATGTTAGAAAAGTAATGAAAATGCTTAAAAATGAATACGCTTTCTATTGAATGCTAATGAATGCTTGGACGTTTGTTGGTGCGTTTCGCACAACGCATCCAAACTCCGGTCGCTGTCGGGTCGGGGGTGGTTGCTTCCTTCCGCCATTGCAATGAATACCCTTAGCTCTGATACCAAAGCTAATGTAGGCGTCGCCGGCCAAGAAGAAAACCTGGACAAGAATAGCCAATAAAACAGTAAATTCTACTTAAGAGGGAATATGTATTATGTTTCTTTTTCCTCCTCGATACAAAGTATATAAACCTATTATCAAATACTATTAATTAATTGATTAGGATAAACAAACTATAGGAAAGGATTGAACTATCTATAACCAAAAAAGTAAACTAGCAGAAAGTGAGAGTGGGCCGTTGGAGGATATGGGGCGCGGATGCCTGCTGGAGCGGATGGCCACATCATTGATATATTTAAGAATACGAAGAATAGCGTCCCAATGTTTTTACTATTGAGTTTTGCATGTGTTTACTTTTGACCCAAGAACAAAGTAGATATTGGTTGCATAATTATTAATAAAATATTTTTTTTTTCTTTTAATCCTTGGTATCGAGATAGATCATTATATGATATATCCTAATCATATATGTTTTTTTCATTAATGTAATATGTACCGTAAAAGTCCAGTTCTTAAAAGGATATCAATGACATATTTTCTTTGAGATAGAGAAACCCATTTCTAGATGTAAGAAAATTCAACCCCAAGAAAGTATTTAAAGCGCACTAGATCTTTGGTTATAAAATAATTTTATAAGCTGTGTTTATCTTTAAATATGCCTTCTTTATCACTCCCATTGAAAAATGTATATTCTATTTAAATAGCTAGCTCAACTGAGCCTGTAATTGTATGTTTGACAATATAGATTGATTGATGGTACTACTTCGAAAGCCAATTTTTACAATAACTTTTTAAAATTTGTCCAACCGAGCCCATGGTCTTTGATTGAGCTAATAAATGGTCATCCTAAGTTGGCATATGTGTTTCTACCCTTGAACAACATACCAAGGAGATTTCTCCACATGCAACCTTGATTGATGGCCACTTAAATTTGAGTTTAGGCAGAGTTGAATATAATGATTTGGGATGAAGCATCAAAATAATCTATCTCATACATATTTGAGTAAAACCTTTTGCAACCAGGAGCATTATATTGATCAATGGAGCCATCAGGATAAAACATGATAGTGAAAACCTACTGAAAGAGGTAGTTGTAGCGCTTTTAGATATTTCATGACAAGAGAAACAACATAAAAGACATAACAAAACGATAGGATAGGGATGAATAGCGAAATGGTTCTGAGGAGTGAATAGGATGATAAATAATTTTCCATTTTTCTCGTCACAGCATAATAGAAAGGTGTACATTTGAAGGTATAATCTCTAAGGGATCCTCAATAGAAAGTTGATAAGATCATAAGAGATATTGTAGGCGGTGGACGAGGTCTTAAAGACGAAGAGGAAGGGAGTGAAGTAACTGAAGAAAAACTGTTATATGATGATGATTCATAAGTGTTGGGGGGTAGTAAAGAAAGGGATATTCTCATGAAAAATTGATTTCAACATGGAATCATAACATCTATATACATTTTTAGTTTTAATACTTCTAAAGGAATATAAAATGAGTAGCAGTTACATTGCTATCAACTCTACAATTCTATAAGACACCAAAACGATAGTGCATTATTATTATCGCTATTATTTTTCTTGTTGTATAGGAACACAGATCACCCAGAGAAGTGTCGCTGCTAACTTGCCTTCCAGCTTCTGTTGCTCCTGCTCGAGTCCCACTTCTCACTGACAAAGTCGGCAGCAACCCTCCGGAAAGATCAATTTGGAGATGAACCATAAAGAAGTAGAGAGAATGCTGCCTGATCTGTACATTTCGAACGGTTAATCTCTCACGAAATTTTACATCTTACACTGCTTTAGCATATATATATATTTATGAATGCCCGCCATTCATTCTTCTTCACATGTTATGCACCTGCTTGTGTTGATTTTCTTCCTCGATGTAAATAAAATTGAACCTGTCTTATGCTTACAAATTAACCTGGAACCAAAATCAACATTAGCTAGCAATGATAGTAGGTTGAATGGTTAAGTTCTCTTAAAGGCTAAAACATTTTTGAAAGAGAAAACTGATATACAAAGTTAGAAACAAATCATCTCTGGAGCACACATTCTTGATGCCCAAATGAATTTGACATCTAAATCTGTAGCATCACAAATTATGTCGTGAGAGGGGCGACGGTTTGCGATTGTGGGCGGTTTGAGCAATTACCTATTTTTGAACGAACGATTGCTTCGTTTTGACGATAATCATCGTGAGGTGGGACCGGCAGAGGCAGGTATATCGTTTTCTAACAGTTAGAGGTCAACAAATTGCATGTTTAAAAGTTATTTTGAGCTCTTTTTTTTAACAAGTCTAATGTTTTTTTTTTTTAATTACTTATATCAATGCTCACAACATTTATTAAAACGTTAATAAATTATGAAAAATTGAAGAAAAAATTTTTAAATTTAAAATTCCACCTAACCCTTATTAGCCAAACCCCATCTCCCCATCCTAAGACTAGTTTTCCCCAATTCCTACCCTAAATGAATAGATTCCTATAGAACTAGCCACATTAAGCACCTCAGTCACTTCATCGAAACACCGCTCTGTGTCACTAACTCTTTGTATTAATCTATGTAAAATTATATATTAGTAAAATTATATGAGGATTTTCTTTCGTCTCATTGAGTTTCTTGATTTAAGTATAGACAAACGTGATGCGGAGATAATTTAATCATTCAATTAAGATTCAAAAGTTTTTTAATACGCTTCAATTATTTCATTTCAGGTCATTTGTAATATCGATGAATCCATCTCATTTTTAGATATTCAATTGACTATAAATTACCCGTTAACAATATAACACTTTATCAGTCTAAAAAAAAAAATACTTCTTCATTGAAATAATTTTATATATGAATAAGCATCCATGAAATTAAGGCCTCGTTTGATTAGGTTTATTTTCTCCGTTTCCATTTAAATAAGTTTTAATAAGTTCGTCATAACTGTTTGGAAGACAAATTTAATCGTAATTACTTTTTATTAAACCACGTATTTTGGGTGGTTACAGAATTTATTTGCTGTCTGCTTATTCATTTAGAAAACACAGTTTCCCAACCAAAAAGTCCGAATTAACCCTCCTCCACGTTCGACCCACGAAACCACGAAACTACCTTATGCTTCAGCGGATCGCGAGACAAAAAAACTGTCTGTTTATTTTTTTAGCTCCTTCCATCCGGACTCCCGATTCCTCTCCATTTCGCACGCTATGGCTCAAGATCTCCACTCCTCTTCCTCGACCACAGCAGCCAGCATCCTCCCTACGTCGATCTGTTCAGCCATCCCGACGCCAGTCCGAGTGTTTGAATTGGCGACCTCATCCCAACAATAAATATTCCTGCAATCGAACAACCCTTTATTCCTTTGATTAATCGGGCTTCCACACGAATATTGTAAGCAGGAGAGCGCCTCGTCAGTCTTCTCTAGCTCCTGCACCAGAATTCACATAAGTATTAAACTCGGATATCTAGAAACTAAAATATATCAAAGACACAGAGAAAACATTGTAGAGGTGACCTGCTTCCACCAAAGCCCTCACCTTGTCCTCCTCTATGGTTCTCGACTTTGCTTCCAGGTCGGACTCGTCTGATTTCAACATTGAATCATCTCGCCCATGGGCGGACCCCCATTGGCTTGAGGGGGGGCATTGCCCCCCTCAAAAAAAAAAAAAAATTTTAGAGGAATTGTTTGGAATATTTTGGGTATTTTTTCTCTCACTTGAAAATTATAAGAATAGCTTGTTAAAAGTTTAATTCTTAAATATTCTTGTCAGTTAGTATAGTGCTATCTTTCTCTTCCTAAAAATTCAGCCTAAGCAATGGGTAGAACTAAGCAAAGACATTCCTCATCTAAAATTAGAAGTGAAGAACATTTGAAAGATAAAAATTCATTTTATCTTCTCCACATGCAGAGTTCAGCTATCATTAAAAATTTTCATAAGTTCAATGATAAAATTCATGAAAATACAAGAAGATACAAGGCATAAATGTGAACTTTTAGATCATAAATTTCACCCAGATCAAGATGTTCTATTGTTTGATTACAAGAAGTTTTGCCAAGAATCTGAATGGGTGGGCCCATATACTTTTATTAGAATAAATCTCAATGATGTCATCAGCATTTAATATAAGAAATTTTTTCATATTTTTAAGATTAATAGTCGTAGATTGAAACCATGTTGATTAGATGAATAAGAAAATCATGAGTATGATACTTATGGTGCATAGTGCACTAGTTATCTTGTAACTCGTGTTATGTTTATGTTATCACATATTTTATAGTCTTTTATCATTCATATGAAAGTATGTGCAGTGTTAATAGTTAATTGAGTTCCTTTTATTTACAATTTTTTATAATTCTCCTCATGCTTATTATAATTTTCATTAGTTCATATATTTTGATTATTTAATAACTTTAGTAAAAATGATAATTAGAAATTATATAAAATCAAGATAATAATAAAATCCTAATTCATAGTTCAAATGAATACGATTTATACTTCATAGAGTAAAAAAACTAATAATTAACCAGCTCAATTAAACTATTTAAGTTATTGCTTTAATTTTAAATTATATATTATATATTTATGTATTAGTTTTTGAAATAAAGATGAATAATTAAAATTAAAGATTAGATATGAGTATATTAAAATTAAAAATCATAAGCAACCATAATTTAAAATTGGTTATCTTATTTAATCATTACATAAAATTCATTTATATTATAAAAGGATTCGAAGCAAAAACTGATATTCAAAATTATTAACTATGTACTCCATTAAATAAAAAATAAAAGAAATATCAAAATAATTCTTAAAAAAAATAGAACAAAAAAAGATAAGTATATTCAAAAATTGGTATAAGACAAAAGCTTAGAATCTGATTGCAATATAATATTAAATTCATAAAGAATAAATTAAAAAAAAAAAAGTATAAAAGATGGTAAATTAATGAAGTTTCAACTTTAACGACTAACAGATCTAATCAATAAGCTACATTATTCACTTTAAAATTCAAAAATATTAATAATTATAGCTATATAAAATTCAAATTAAATAATAATAAGGATGTCTAATTAGTATAATTATTTTTTTAAAACTAAAATTATAATCTTATTCATTTTTACTACTTCTAAACTGTGATGTATTATCATATATTTTAGTAATTTTAATTTTTCAAATTTTTACTTTGATTAATCATTTAATCAAAATTACAAAAAAATTTAGTTGGATAATAATTAGTATAATTATTTTTTTAAAACTAAAATTATAATCTTATTCATTTTTACTACTTCTAAACTGTGATGTATTATCATATATTTTAGTAATTTTAATTTTTCAAATTTTTACTTTGATTAATCATTTAATCAAAATTACAAAAAAATTTAGTTGGCTGAGGACAAATAAGAATTCAAGTTGGGGAGAGTGTAAATAATGTATTATTTTGTATTATATTTTTAGAAAAAAATTGTTATTTTAGTTGTGTTATGTAGGAAAAATATAAAAAATCTACTAAAATTTAAGTATCATCTAGAGTTACGGCATCGAACAAAATAATATCGTAGCGCCATCAAAGGCACCGTTGGAGTTTTACAACATTCACATGACGGCGCTGACTTCTCTGTTGGACTGTGTCACAACGTCAAAATGGCCATCTTTGCAGCGCTATGTTCATTGTCTGCTTCAGGCGTCACGGCAGCACAATCTATCACACCTGAATGCCAAAATTGCCACTTTGTTGCCACAACGTTTGAAAGTTAGCAGTGCCGTGACATAGTAGTTGTAACTTTCAAACACACGTAACGTTTGACATGACTGTTAACTAAGTAATTGATCCATGTCTGTAGGCGTTGCGTCAGAGTAAAAACATCAGTGCAATAGCATTAGTTCATTTTAAGAGTGCTATGACGCCAACCTTTCAAAGTGTTATAGTACTAGTTGCCTAATTTTTGGCTTCATATAAATAGTCATTATGTTATGTTTGTAAGGAGATTTCAATCATTTATATAATTTCAATACTTTTGAGAATATTTTTTAGATCTCTCTTAGAGTTAAATCTAATAGATATCAAAATAATATTAGATATAATAATTATAGTGTTTAGTTAGTGTTTAATTAAGCAACTCCGTGCATTAATAATTTCAATGAAAAAGAATTTACTTATTTTTCTTTTATATCTCGTTAATTCTTTAATTTTGGATTGACAATATAGAGAACATATTAAGTACTTGTGTGATTGAAAAGATGTAGTTTTGAAAAAAATTAATTTTCTTCGAGAAAGATTTAATTTTTGAAATTTTAAAATTGAACGTATCATTATGAACAATATATCACATCGGGAGGCGAACATGTCATTCCCAAATGCGTTTAAATTTCAGAACTTTGAATTCATCCTGATTATCATAGTTAAACTCAGGAAAGAATCACATATGATCCCGAAGGGTCAAAATGAAATTTAATCTAGTATTTGAATAATTCAGATAAATGGATCATTAATTTCATAATCAAAATTTTGATAAGAAAGCAATATATCTTCCTAAAAAAGAGGATATTGTCTATTATCAACTATTTAAATACGACGATAATGATCACCATTTTTTGTATTTCCCAAAGAGAATTAATTAAAGTATTGAAAAGTTTGATTTTTTGCAAAATTAAATCTGGGTTTCTAAATATCCTTCAAGCGGAAGCCCTCGTAGTTAATTATATCGTAGGAAATCGGAGTTTCCTACGAATATTCTCAATTAAAATAGTGGTATGAATTTTATTTAAGATTTCAAAGCTGGATATCAAAAGAGGTAAGAGTTAGAAATTCAAAAGGAAATGGATCAAAAGTGATCACTTATTTCTAGAGTCAAAGAAGAAGAAGTATGAGGTGTTTTAAGATTTTGAATTACTTCAAAAACACCTTAGCTTATTCTAAGTGTTGGACTTGAATTTGATTGAAAGATATTTAAGTTTAAGTAA